GGAGGACCACCCAAAGAGAAGCAGATGTTTAGCTTGGAAGCCCAGAAGAACAAGGCATCCACCCTCCAGTGAAAAACCTCCAGGGCTCACATATGAAAGGTCTTATTCTGTGAGATCCAACAGGGTAGATCCCGAACCAGTGAGTAAAAACTAGTGGGACATGATTCTAATTTGGTGGAAGGAAGGTCTTCCCAACAATAAGGGCAACTGAGTGCTTTGCTGAGAATTTTAAAACACATATACAATCCTAACTAGCATTTATTGCAATGTATTATTCTATGTATACACACACACACACACACACACACACACACACACACACACACACACACACAAACACAGGGGTTGCCAAAAATATATACACATTTGTTCAAAAGATGGCATTAATCAGATGAATGCTAGCATCACACACATGACAGCAGAATTGGCCAGTGCAACCATCTACAAAGTGTGACCTGTATTCATCTTTCGTTACTGGTATATATTGAACATTACAATTTTAATACAATTTTTTAAATGTGCATACATTATTTATTCTTGGCACCCTCTGTATATAGCAGGGGGTGCCAAAAAAGTGTATACACATTTTAAGCAATGTTATCTATGTATTACTTTTAGTTCGCCATAATCAGAAGTATCTGGACATGGATGGTAACCACTTTGAGCACCTTTTGTAACTGAAGACAAGTCAAACGTGACTTGTATTTATCTTTTGCTATCAGTATATATCGGGTATTACAATTTTAATAGTTTTTTCCTTCTTAAAATGTGCATACATTTTTGGCACCCTTTGTATAGGCACTTATGTATATATGTTATATATCTGTGCATACCCTCCTAACCATGGGTAAACTCCATGAGGACCAAAACCAGGTCTCTTCATTTCACATCCCTAGAGTCCAGCACAAGCCCTGTCACATACTATGTGCTCAATAAATGTTATCTGAATATGAGTTGACCATGACTGGAGGTTGCCAAGGGTGTTGTAGAGGTGATTTATGCTACATAATTCCAAACAGCAAATCCGATGATCTCTGAACAACTGCACATAAACTAGCTTCCCCTGGAGACACATCCATCCTTTACATCTTTACAATTGATTTGGAACTTAGATAAAATGAATTAATTCAGATTATTTTGTCTAATGTTGAACTGGAATATTAGCGCCAGGATTAAAACTCAGACTGATACTAAGTATGAGGGGTCATCATTTTTGCTTCCAATACTTCTGTGCTCCACATAATTTGAACGTGTCATCTATTAAGAAAATCTGATCTTTCCAGAGGAAATCTGATCCTTTCAGCTGTGAGCCAGCTCAGGAATTTACCCTTCAAGCCTCCCTTAAAGCACACCTGGGTCTGGGGGATTTACTGATTCTGGGCTGGGGTCATCAGTTCAGCAGATGCATACCTGCTCACCACCCTCCACCGGCTGGAGTTCACTTGGAAAGTCATCCTGTCAGAGGCCTGGCCCAACTCAGAAGTTAACCCCAAGGTCTTCGACAGAGCAGCCTCTGCAGTTACCAAGATCATGCATATCACATCTTCCTCAAGAGGCCTCAAAACAAATCAGTTCTCTGGTTCACAGAGTGAAGCCTGAAACTCACCTAAAATTGGAGGTAACTTTCAAAGCCACTTTTCTGTCCCTGTCCCCAAGTAGGACTTGACATGCTATAGTCATGTGTCCAGGGGAGGGAGCCATGTCTCCAGTGAGCTGCTGCTTCATAGCAGGCACTGTGCTGAGGACCATCTCATTTAATCCTCCCAATAATCCCATGAGGTAAGATGAGTATCTCCATTGCACAATCAAGGAAAGGGCATCTCAGAGAAGTTAACTCAATTACCCAACATGATACAGCTGAGATGGTAAACAGAAGAACTAGCATTTTTTGTTTGTTTGTTTGTTTGTTTTGAGTTGGAGTCTCATTCTGTCACCCATGCTGGAGTGCAGTGGCACACTCACGGTCACTACAGCCTCTACTTGCAGGGCTCAGGAGATCCTTCTACCTCAGCCTTCCAAGTAGCTGGAACTGCATGCCTGGCTAATTTTTTTATTTACTGTAGAAATGAGGTCTTGCCAAGTTGCCCAGGTTATCCTTGAACCACTGGGCTCAGGCAATCCTCTCGCCTCCATCTCCCAAAGTGCTGGTGTGAGCCATCATGATAGACAACTAGAGATCTTAAAATAAAAGTCAGATCAGAACATCCTTGTATCAAAATGCCCCAGTGGCCTCCTCTCATGCCTAAAACACACCTAAACTTCTGCAGGACTCTGTCCGAACCAAACTCTGCCTCCCTCTCTTGCCCTGCCTCCTCTTGTCCTAGCTCTCACTCTTCCAGTCCTACTGGGTTCTTGCTGTTCCCTGGAATCACCAAGTCCCTGCCTCAGGGACACTGCACTTGTTATTCCCTCTTCCCAGAATGCTCTTCCTCCAGTACTCTGTAGATCCCTTTTACTTCATCCAGGGCTCTGCTCCAATGCCACATCCTTAGTAAGGCCGTTCCCAACTACTCCATCCAAAAGAGACTCCTTTTCCCATCACTCTTTTCTTTTTCTTTTTTTTAGTTGGAGTCTCACTGTGTCTCCCAGGCTGGAGTGTAGTGACACAATCACGGCTACTGTCGCCTCAACCTTCTGGGCTCAGGCAATCTTACCACAGCTTTCCAAGTAGCTTTCCATGTGTGCCACCATGCCCAGCTAATTTTTTTTTCTTTTATTGTTGAGATGAGGTCTCACCAAGTTGCCCAGGCTGGTCTCGAACCCCTGGGTCAGGAATCCTTCACCTTTGCCTCCCAAAATGCTGGGATTACAAGAGTGAGTCATGGCACCTGGCCTTCTCCCACCACTCTCTAAATAGCCTTTATCCTATACTTGATACTTCTTACCAGTGCTTACTAGTGCCTGGATACACATCCATAGCCTGTGAACTGCTTCTTATTAGTGACCCACTAGAAGGCAAATGAGCAGGGACTCTGCAGTCCTCACTGCTAACACACCTGGACCCAGACATGTGCCCAGCGCTCAGTCAACTGGTCTAGGCCTGGCTAACCCCTCCTCTGCCCACTGCTGCCTCTACCTGATCCTGCTCATGGAGTAGCTGGGTGACCTTGGCCAGATAACTTCAGATCTCAAGAGACATTTTCTATTTCACAATAGTGGCCCTGACAAAAAGGGAACCATTTCATCCCTCCCTAAAGACCGTGTCATACCCTTGCTGTGATATTTGTGTGACACTGCCAGCTTTAGAAGTTTGTAAGTTTATCAGAGAAGAGACATTTGAGGCAACTGATGAAACAAAGATAATTATAGTTCATAAAGAGAAAAATTTTTAAAAACCTCAAAATGACCAACTGCTGTTTATTGCTAGAACAGATAATTAGTTCACTTAATGTCTTCCAGCATTTTTTCCAAAGGAGATAGAAATGGACTCTTATAAAAAGCTGTGTTATCTGGCACTGAACCAACCAGAAGGTACCCACAGGGGTAACTTCTGAGAGTTCACAAATCTCCAGACTTACAATGGGATTGAGGCAGAAGTTAGTCAGAATCCAAGAGAAGACCAGTACTCAATGCAAAAGTTTCTGGAGATAAAATGAACCCTGTTGTGCGAATTTAGTTTGACCTCGCATATAACTACTGCCCTGCCTCAAAACTCCAGTTCACCTCCATTACTCCAGTTGCTGAAAGGTGGGTCATTTCCCATAAAACATTTTGCATTCTATAGAAGTATTTTGTAAATACATATAGAGTGGTTCCTTTTCAAAACTCAGGATTTACTTTGAGTTTGGTTTTATATACTGTCTGAATATTGTTTTAGTTGTAGAAATTCCTACTGGCATCCAAGGGGCGTTTGTTTACTGAACTTTCCTAGTCTCCATCTTTCTTAATGATGTTAAAAATGTTTCCTAGTTATGTTAAAAACGTTTCCTAGTCTTCCACTTTCTTAATAATGCTAAAAACGTTTCTTAACACATTTACCACTTCAAAGAGCTCTTGGATCCAGGCCAGGGTCAGGTTCACAGGGTGAAATACCTCAGCGATAAGAGAATCGTCTTCTGGGAAAGTTTAGGTTAGTCTCTTAGTTTACAGCAGCTTTTAACCACCCTATACACAGCCCCCCCCTTACAGGAAGGGAGATAATCAAGATTTATTGTATAGCCAAATACCAGGATAGATAAAATCCTGCAGGTTATTTCACTTCCAAAGGAGGAAGAAAAAGGGGTTTATTCATTTTTGAATTCAAGTGATGGCTTAAGTAGGGGGAGGTTAAGGCAAAAAATTAAAAGTTGCAACAGAAAGTATTGCAGAGGTGTGGATACAAGATGGCGACCTCATCGGGGTGATGCTTAGAGCAAAAACTGCCCCAGAACATGTGTCCTCACTGGAACCTAGAATATACTGCTCTTTATTTCCAGATTTTTCATTATACTGTATCTAATCATAAGCTGAATATTTCTTAATACTTGCAACCAGCAGCCAAGTCTTCTCATTCTTTACCATTAATGAGGCGTTTACTTGATATTCAAACACAAATTTATATCCCACTTTCTTCAAACTACATGCTAACAGTTTATCACATAATGCTCACACACACACAAATCACTTTCTATGGCTTGAGCCATCTTTCAAAGGGTTAACAAGCAAAAGAGACAAACAACTACAGGTGGTTCAGTTATATTTATAATCACGACAGAAGTTCTTGTGCCCAAGTGAGGAAATATCTCATGGGAACACAGATCTCTGGCTAACAGATCACATTCCTAGGTACATTCTCTACTGGGCACTTGTACTGTTACTTCTGTAATTATTTTGATGCAGTGATCATTTTAGGCACAATTCCTAGAGTTCTTGAGAATATGACATCTTTCATTGACACTTGTTCTTGTTATAGAGTCATGTTTCTTTACTCTGCAGTTGTCAAAGAGGAAAGGGAGACAACATATAATAATGTGCAGGCTCTAACAACCAAAAAGCATGCATTTTCATAATATTCAACTTACTTTTTCATTCCATGCCCACAGTCCAATTCCAAGAAACGTTATTCCCAAAAACTGAAAGGAAAACAGAAAGAAAGCAGGGTAAGCATAAGGGTAAACATCACATTTTTACTAATATAAATAGGACAGGTTTTAATTAATTCTTTTGTCATTTTACCTGGCTGGGAAGTAGCTTTCTCTAAAATTTGAGTATCCATCTTTACCAGGAAAATACATACCATAATCCCTTTGCTTAAAATTATTACAGCATTAAGGATTAGAGACAGGTAAGTGCCGAGAAATCATTCAGATTATGAAGAATAATAATTAGGACCCTACGTAAAATGAAAGTTATCAATAATATTGAATGCTACCTTTTGGGGTAGGAGAGGAAACAAGAATGTCCCAGGGACTTGAGCTGGTGTTCACTAGCGAGTGGGTAAGCAGAGTCATGAATTTAGAGGAGCTTGGTGATCCTCTCTTCAGCTATTAGAAATGGGTCAGGTAGGCCAGGCGAGGTGCCTATAATCAATCTCAGCACCTTGGGCAGCCAAGGTGAGAGACTTACTTGAGCCCAGGAGTTTGAGACCAGCCTGGGCAACATAGCAAGGCCTCATCACTACAAAATATCAAAAATTAGCTGGGTGTGGTGGCATGTGCCTGTAGTCCCAGTTACTTTGGAGGCTGAGGTGGGAGGATCACCTGAACCCAGGAAGTGGAGGCAGTGGTAAGCTATGAACTAGCTACTGCACTCCAGCCTGGGTGACAAGGTGAGGCCCTGACTAAAAAAAAAAAAAAAGAATGGACCAGGTCAGCAAGGACATGCAGAGTCCCCCATGTCCCTCACAAGTTCTTTATCCCACCTTCAAAAGGTGACAAAAATCTACCAAGTCCAAAGAAAATTCTGGGAACCTTCTGTTTTTCAGAAACTTCAGTGACTTAAATCATAGTTCTGAGCTCCTCCACCTTCCTGGTCTCAACTCAGTCCCACAACTTCATGCACAACATGGATCACACAAATAACACACAGGACTGAGTTAAGCATTCAGCCCCAATGCCGAGATGTGTCTCATGCACATGTATCTCACAGTTTTGGGAATTAGCTGGGTTGAGGATGGGTTAGGAGGCTGCTGAGAGGGGAGCAGTTGATAACTAGGAGGGCTTTCCATTTTAATCAGTTTTAATTGTATTGCACCTGCTCTAAGATACACATTTCCCCCTACATTTTAACATCTTTGAAACTGGGATGTGTCTAATATCAATGGTACTTCATGATATTTTTTCCCTTGATGGTGCCTAAATAATGGTGTGTTTTGTAATTGGGGTCCATCGATTTGATGACACATTGCACAGGGCTATCAACCCACTGAGCACTCAGTGATCAGGACTGGGTATAACTGGCCACAAGGAAAGACACGTTTTATTACTCACCATTGTTATCAATACAAAAACTCTGACTTCCCTTTCTAAACACTGAAAAAAGACAAGCTGCAGTCTGATGGCAGCAGCACACACTGTTTATTTGACTAGCAACTTGATTAAGTTAAATGTCAGGAAAGTTGTCCATGGAGAAGAGTGCACAGAGAAAAAGACAGTGAGTTGAGTTATTTTTTTTATAGTTTCAGTCCTCCAGGTGAGGACTTTGCCGTTCACAGCAGGGAGTTGCTGACATTCTGTAGGCACTGGCTAATAAATCTGAAAAGGACTGGGCCAATGACAGAGAAAAGAAGGAACTGAAAAAAGACAACTGACTACTCTGAAAATGTGGTAGTGTAGACCTTCCCAAAATTCCTGACAATCATCTGACACTGAAGTGAGAGAGTATGCAATACATCCTGAGCAAAAATGCATGTCCTTAACTTGGCAGAAATTTGAAGAGCCCATTCTTCCTACCCTTGCTTCCATAGCGGAACTGCTTGAAAAGTGTCTAGAAAGATTTCTTGTTTCAATACCCCAACAGAAAAACTGCAGTCAGTCCTGCTACTGCCCTGGTCAGAGTGTTATCTCATCTTATGTTTCAAATCCAAACAACAAATGAAACTCCAAAGGACTCAAAGGTACTTGTGATCCTTTAGTACAAAAAACAATTCTGCATTTATAGGTGCTAGGCAAAACTGAGCAGCAACTGCCAAGTGAATACACAGGCTCCATCAGACTTGGAAGGCAGCAGTGCGCAGAGGTAAGGCTTTGGCTTCAACATGTTCATATCCGACACATCCCGGTGAAATGGCTACCTTTCTAATGGTGAAGCTGTCCAAGGGCAAATATTTGGCTATTTCCTCTGATGCACTATTATTTAGTCCCAGTGTCATCACAAGCAATAGGAAGGACGTTATGGCAGAAAACACCGTAGTCGACGGTCCCTCTTGCTACTGAAGAATGTGGGCATATTACTACTCAGGGTGCCTAGTCGCTAACATTTATTGGTCTTTATTACTTGCCAGTCATTGTGCTTAGGGCTTTGTATGCAATGTCTCTTTTAAGCTCCACAATCATTTGCTTTGAAATAGGCACTATTATTACCCCCTTTTTAAAAAAGAGGAAAATTAGGCTTAGAGAATATAAATAACATGTTCAGAGAAACATAGATTCTAAGTGGGGGAGCAGAGACTCGAATAAGATGAGAATATGCTCTTACTAGTCCTGATGAATTCCCATTTCCCACCTGCCATGGTGCAGAAAGTTGAGACATTCAGGCTAGAATTACATGGCATATGATTAGGATATCAGCTATTCCTCCCTCAGCAAAGAAAGGGGTGTTGAAGAAGTAAAAGCAAAAAAAAAAAAGGGACAAAAACTTTGCCTTCACGTAAGAACTAGTTGCAGACCACAAATTCTTCACTCTGATATCAGCAATGAAGTGAGTAGAAGACCCAGAAATTTAATGATGGGTCCACTTTCTACTATTTAAATCAAGTTAACCTCTCTCCTTTTGGCACTTTGAAAAAACTTTTTCTTCATATAAGTAGCTTAGAAACCAATGGTTTTTCCATTAAAAGGAGAGAGGAAAAAAATAGGGATTGAAAGAAGACTGACAATGTTCTTTATAATCTTGCTCCCATATTTCCTGCTTTGACTTTCCAAACACGGGTTTAAAAATTGGGGAAAATAACACAATTTGAAGTGAGGGAAAATACTCACTACCTAAGCAAGCAAGTGTGCAGGGCTGGGGCCTCAACTTAATGCATACCTGCAGTGCTGCATCACTCGCAAATGTCCTCCCAATTACTCCCAGGCCATATGTTTTGTTTTAAAATCAAGTTGTTGCAGCTCCAAATAATTAAACAGAGAAGAGTCAAAAAACAGAGACAGGCACGCAGCACTTGAGAGACATGCAGTTTCCCTCTCCCTACCTCCCGAAGAAAAGTCAACCATAAACCACCACACTGACCTCATTCTGAAACCCAGAGAGGCCCACTTACAGGGAACAGCTGAGAACTCTTAAAGTCAACCTTTATTCTTTTGCAGTAGAAATAAAAACATATCTGAGGCATCTTCCCACATGGCAATATATGCAAATGTGCAGTGCAAATGTTTGTCAACCTAATTTCTGATGTTTTAAAATGAGGAACACTTTTGCTATTATTGGTTGAATACTAAGTATGGCTAATGGGTCGCTTGATAACAGGAATACAATCTGAGAGATGTTGTTAGGTAATTTCATCACTATGTGACCATCGCAGAGTGTACTCTTACAGACCCTGATGGTCTAGCCTACTACACGCCCAGGCTATATGGTCTAGCCTACTGCTCCTAGGCTACAAACCTGTACAGCATGTCACTGAATGGAATACTGTAGGCAACTGTAACACAATGGTAAGCATTGTATGTCTAAACATAAAAAAAGCACAGTAAACATATGGTATTATAATTTTATGGGATCACCGCTGTGTAATACAGTTCATCGTTGACCAAAACATCGTTATGTGGCATGTGACAGTACTCTTTTTTCTTCTTTTTGAGTTGGAGTCTCTCTCTGTCTCCCAGACTGGAGTGCAGTGGCTGCTCCCGGCCACTGCAGCCACGACCTGCTGGGCTCCAGTGATCCTTCCGCTCAGCCTTCCAAGCAGCTGGAACTACAGGCGCGCGCTACCACGCCCGGCTAATTTTTTATTTATTGTAGGGGTGAGGTCTTGCCAAGTTGCCCAGGCGGATCTTGAACCTGCGGGCTCGGGCAATCCACTCACCTCAGCCTCCCAAAGCATGGGATTACAGGCTGAGCCACCGAGCCAGGCTGTGACAGTACTCTTTTATATGAATTAGCTAAAATAGTGCTGCTCAATACGATAGCTTAGTTCTTGGGCATGTGAAATACGGCTAGTTCAAACTGAGCTGTGCTGGTAAGTGTAAGCATACACTAGATCTCGAAGACTTAATATGAGCAAAAAGAATGTAACATATCTCATTATTATTTGTATTATTGATTACATGTTGAAATGATAACATTTTGGAAAATTGGGCTAATAAAATGTATGAAAATCAATTTCCCTTGTTTCATTTTACCTCTTAAATATAGCTACTAGAAAATGTATATTACATATGTGGTTTTCATTATTTTTCTACAGAATAATGCTGGATCAAAGTCTCCCACAATAATCTCATGTACTAGGTACTGTTATGATCCCCCTTTTAGAGATGAGGAAATTGAGGTTTAGAAATTTTAAGTGTTTCTCCCAAGATTATCCAGATGCCTGAGTTGAGTTGTTCAGGAAATCTGAGTCCTAGGTCCAAGACCAAAACTGTTACAGTACTTTCCTAATGTGCACAAAATGCATAAAATATTTGTCCACAGAGTCAGCTTAGGAATGGTGAATTGTAATCAAACTTGTTCCCTAAGATTATAATTTATTTTTTCAGTTTCTAGGTATGAAAGGTATGTTTTCCTGCCTGGAATTGAGAATGAGTCTCAGTGAAACCAGAGAGGAGCCAAGTTTAGCAGAATGAGAGCCAGCAGAGTTGATAGCTGGGAACTGCCCCAGGATGTGACAAAGGTGACTGTGTAGCTCTGGAGCGACACATCTGCCCCACCCCCATCTCTGAGGCCTATAAGAGGAAGATTTCTTCCTCCATACCTG